AGATGCGTCTGTAGAATTCACATTTCATATTTTATTTTTACTGTGTGCTACTAAAATGGGACCCAATAATCCCGCAGTGCAACCTAAGCTGAAGGGACCTGAAAAATGTTGGTATTTTAAAGGGCGAGCGGTGCCACTTGGTACGGTTTAGAACTATGATTAAGCTAGTCAAAATTCTTATGTAAAGAGGGGGACCATTGGTGCGATTTTTTTTTTCAGAAATCGAAGGGGAGGGGGGGGGTCAGGACCCCCCCTAAATCCGCCACTGCATTCCACGAAAAGGGGTTCAATTTTGAATACTGTCTGGCGCAGCTTATTTTCAGTAGTAAAAGTGTCTGTAATTTTGCTTTTTTTAGCCTTTTTCAACAGGACCCCATGTGTTCTAAAAAAAAATTATATTGTTCCACTCGCTTTGACGGGATCCCCTGGGGTCTATTTGACGCAAAAAACACGATTTATACATGTTGCTTCAGTATTATAGCTGATTTGCCACAAGAAAACGCATATATTTTCCAGTCTTTTAGTATTTTTAGTTCTCAACTAATTTGAATTCATGTTTCTTTATATCATACATGGTGTTCTCAGTCGAATTTGTCGGTTAGTTATCCGCTCTAGTTTAAGCATTATCGTTCAGTAGGCCTAACAACTAACCTCCGTAACACTTTTTAAAGTAAATGTAAGAATAGACGAAAATGCTCTTAAATGGCCTTCCTGTGTATTTTTCAAATTCATAATACAGCAAGTTTAATAAAACAGATATATTTGTTCATTTAAAATGTTGGTTCCATTATAGACTGTTTACACACTAAAGTTAGGGTGTTACATATGTACATTTAAGAGCCTAACCTCAGTAACGGACCAAATTTAAAGAAAACGTGGCTTTAGAAAGTTAAAAACATCCTTTTTGTTAAGACAGAATAAACTTCTTTCTAAAAAAAATTCAGTAGTGAAAATTAATCCCGTGAATAACAACTGATAAAGAATGCATGTCACTTTACATCTGTTATGCTGACCTCCGTCACAAAATATATTCCTCTTCTTCATGTGCCATCACCGATTCGGTGTTTGACGAACGATGATATTTTGCCCAAGGAGTTATAACTCCTTGTTTTGCCAAAGGGTTCTATTTCTCGCCCATGACCAAAAGTGTCTTGTTGGTAATTCAAAATTGTCAAGAAAGGATTTTCGTTGTCTGATTGTCTGCCTCGGGCACTTTTTCCAGGTATTCTACCGCTAGGAAGATCTTCTAATCCCTCTTTTCTGATGCAATGTCATAATAACTTCAGTTGTCTTTCTCTGACAGTGTTGAGAAACTGTCTTTTTGGTCAATCAATATATTAATTGTAATAAAATTACTGTGGTTATTTTAAAACGTTATTTCTGTGGTTTTGTGAGTCAATTCTGATATAGTACTCATTCATACCGCTAGCTGTTCAAGAAATTATATATATATATATATATATATATATATATATATATATATATATATATATATATGCACGTCCACGATACTGGGTAATAAGTTATCATCTTTGAAAGTCCTTCAAATTATTCTTATGAGTTGGATTTACAATGGGGTGTTTTCATGTTAACGGGAAAGGGTTTGTCTTATTATAACCTAAGATCTAATAAACGGTATATTAGATCTTAGTTATATAACAAAAATTTTGTCTTTCCAAACTGCTGCGTATTTTAAACTTTTTAACTCTTAGCCGAAAATGACACTAAAACAGCGCTTAAATCTGGGGCATACCAGTCTCTTTTGCAGCTGTACATTACGGAAAAGAAAGCTCTCAGAATAGTTTTGTCATGTTTTTGGGTCATTTCAAGGATCATTTACGGCACACACACTAGAGAGACATATAGCGAGATATAGTAAGCATTATCAAAGCAACAATCATATTCAGTAGGTAACATTGTGGTTTAATTGGATCCTATTTTACTATGTCGAGGTAATGACAAACAGTGATAATCCAATGCCCAAATACAGTAAAACCATTCCTTTCAGCAAGAAGTTATAATGATTAAAACTTCTTGCTTTAAGTTACAACGACCGAGAATGGGTTGTCGCAGTTTATGATAAAGACTGGTGCATTGGAGAAATAACAGAAATTGACTCGAATGATTTTACCGTGCTTGTTAACTTTTTAACAAAATGTGCAATTGGAGTAATTAAAATTTGTATATGCACCGCGCAATAGTGCACCCTTAAATATTTTGGATGTAAGACATTCAGTTGTAGTATATGGGAGATCAGATTAGAGAGATCGCTCGGGAGAGCTAAGAAGACGGACGCGGGTTATAGGAGAGGGATCAAAAGTTGAAGCCTTCACGTAGAACATGTAGTTAGCGATCGACAACAAATAATCCGTTTAACTAGTCATTATGTGTCCTTAGGTTTTCTTTGAGCTACTTTACATAAATCTGACACGAACCATGGAATTTTGGATTGCGTTTTGCGCGTTATAAAAAGTTTTCATTACATAAACATAAAAGATTTCATTACAAAATGCCGTTTTTTTTTCAAAAAATCTTTTTTAAGAAGTTGATAACAGTAGGTAATTTTAATATATTATGCAATTGCTGTTTTGAGAGAACAGTTTCATTAGCTCTATATGTATACAGTGATTAGGGGCAATTGACCTGGATTTTCATTCCAGGTGAAATGACCCTAGTCACTTACTCCCTGATGATGGTGACTGACAGTCACAGAAATATTGGAGGTAATACCCACATATTTTACAAGCTCTTGATAAAAAGAAAAACAATAATTTGAATTGCTGTTTTATTTGTAAAGATGCCTGTTTTGAAAGATTCACTTTTTTTTCTGAACTGGAGCTAACACTGTAATACACTCTTCGGGAATATATGTTGACACGGAATCTAAAGGCACAAGATTTGGAATCCATATTCTTCATTTATGAAAACATCTTTCTCTGACACAGGTGTGAAAACTCGGACAAACGTTCACCAGTAATCAAAGTTTCTAAGCGTGGTGGTTGTTGGTGTAGAGGTCTCTCATGTGCAATCGCCAAGACAGCGAACTGTGTTAGTAGAGCTATGATTGTGTTTTGCATTCTTACTGTATGGCCAGCGTTTAAATGGACAATGTTCTTCTCACAGAATAATCAACAGAGCAAGCCAATTGAAATCAACGGTATTTTAAAATATTTATATGGCTTTCTTGATAAGTTAGGAAAACAAGATGAGTTCATGGCGATTTTGTCATTTACTTGACATCGTGGACCAGTATAAAAGGCAAATTTCAAAGTTAACCTAAACTCCACCTTGATGTTACATAAATACATTTCATATCAACACTACCCGGCAAACGTTTTTATTGCATATTCCTTTATTAATGTGTTTCCACATCACTTCCGTGTCTTAAAAGAAGAGAAAAATGGTAGCCTACACCTGATAAAATTGAAATACTTTTCTTGAATTTGTGATTACTTCACGTAGTATGCGCAGCGTTACCAAAGATCTGAAATTCATAAGTCCGTCCAAGTTTTTGATGCTAAGTCGGTTTGTTTGCAGATTACTCAAGTAAAAGAAGCGCACGGTCGACGCTAAAGAGTACCGATGTCAAACTAGATAATGACAAGCAATGTGCTGTGGCAAAGCTAACTGCAGGAATCTCCACAAGACCTTTCCCAGGACCTTTGGCAAGTTGTACGCCACATTTTCTGTTCCAGCCTGTAAATAAATCTATAAATATTCAACTTGACGGTGATCGTAGGCCGGCCAGTATGCCGGGTATGAAGAAATTTGCTTACGCGTATTTACTACTAGGAAAATGACGCATAGGTGCGCACGGCTAAGAATCCTATTTAGCTCTGACGTATTATGTTTACCTACACGGTAGTGGTGTATTGATGTACTCATTGCCGGAAAGGTGGCCGCGTGGGTGTTTTTCAGTTTGGAAGTTCCGGGTCGTGTTAATCTATTACCATTATTCCGAACTGACTTTATTTGAACTTTGCGTACTGTTTTTCAAACGCATTGTAGATCAACGTATATTCTCTACAATGAAGAATACTGCAGATGAAAAGCAATCGATTTAAGAGTACACTCAATACAGCTTTTAACACTGCCATGCCTTGCTTTAAGTTAATCAACTCCAGTTATAGTCATTTTATTTCTACATTTTTCGTTCTGTTGACAGAAGCAGTAATTGAACAGCAAAAAGTTCACCCACGCAGAGCCGTCTCCTTGTTTACGTTTACATGCGGTTCGCGAACTAGCCACAAGATTAAATTCGACGGGTACATTTATGGACCGCAAGCCGACATCTAGGGAGAAAGTAAACAACCGCTCTATCTATCTGTGTTGCATAGCACAAGTCGAACCCGTGGAATAAATGTCGTGCTACCCAAGTCACAAACTAGGTTGAAAGTAAAAACTCATGAGGAGCCATAAAAAGTGAAATGTAATTTCCCTTCAGTTGCACCTGCTGTTTTCAATTTAGTCATCTTTAAAACGACGAACACATGGTGAGAAAGATGCGCGGGAAAAACACGTGCTCATAGTAAACAAAGCCACATTACTCAAAACCTTCTGAAAACTTGATAAAATGAAGGATGTATCTAACATGTGACAATTATGTTTTTGTTGATTTCACCTGAGCCATTCAATGGCTTCTTCCGCCACCTTAGAACGGACCTTTTCAACGGGGAATTAAGTTCCGTTCATTTGAATCACACTTGCCTAAATGCGATTAAAACATAACACCTTCTTCCAACTAGATTGTGAAACCATTTGCTTTAACTAAATCCTTTCATAAATCCGCCACTGGCTTCACACATGCCTTGGCTCTGTAGCCTGCGTCCGCACTCACAGTGAAGCAATTTACACCCTCATTCAAATCACAAACACAAGGTCGACCGCGGCAAGCATGGAAGTTGACGAACACTTGTCAAATACGTCAGCCAATCATAGCGCGTCTAGATAACACGGATAACAGGTGGCCCCGCCTCTAGACCATGCTTCCAAATTTATAATCAACGCCTTAGCAGAGGTGCAGCAGAGTTTGGAGTACAGAAGGAAGACTAGTTTGTCTCACGCGATAGTGAAAAGAGTAGTATTTGGAATTCGTTATGTCTACGGCATTAGTGTCAGCTTTTTATGATGTTGGAGACATTATATATCAGGTAAGAGCAAGTTTGATCTTAGTTTTGCTATTTAAAAGATAGGGATTTGTGTCTAATCTTGCGAAATGACCGACCGACAACCGGCGTTGTTTTGAAATACCACCAGTAGGTCATGACAGTCACCTTCAAGATCAAAACACCGGGGCTTAAAGTAGTGTTCATATATTTGTATATGACTTGAGAGGCAGAATTTTAAGCTGTATATTTATGAAACTCGTGTATTCATGTTTTTCTCAACTGCACAGCTTTGTTGATATTATGCGGCAAATATCGCATTGAATGTATCACGTACTGTGGCGTGATTTTTGTAAGATTTGTACTCATACCGATGTATTTTGTGTCTTTTTTAGAATCGCAAAAATAGCCTAAGTAAAGGTATGGATCGCAAAGCAGTAGGGACCCCTATTCCACGCCGACATTCCAGCACATCAACAAGTGGCATCACGCCGGGGAGCCCACCAAACTCGCCAACGTCCAGCATGATCTCCTTTCAAAATGAATCGTCTCTCTTCGGCCGGGAACTGACCAAGAAGTCGCTGGATCGCAGTGTTAGCGAACCAGGGGACCGCAGCAATAACAACCAAAACAATCAACGGAATGGTAATCATCAGCAGCAGAATATCAACTCGAGTCGTTACAAGACGGAATTGTGCCGGCCCTATGAAGAGAGCGGTCATTGTAAATACGGAGATAAGTGCCAATTTGCTCACGGTGCTCACGAACTGCGTACATTGAATCGCCATCCCAAGTACAAAACTGAACTGTGTCGTACATTCCACACCATTGGATTTTGTCCTTACGGACCCAGGTGCCATTTCATACACAACGACGATGAGAGAAAAATGAATCAAATCAACAACGGGAAGCAGCAGCACATGCAGCACCAGCAACTTCAAAACTTGCAGAATCAGTTGCAACAGCAGCAACAACAGGCAGCGTTTCAACCCATGAGGCCCAGGGCATTGAGTTTCAATGTGACCATGTCGTTGGGTTCAACAGCTGATTCTCCGCCGTCCAGTGTGTCAGACAGTCCCAGCCTCAGTCCCATCTTCTTTGGTGATGATATCAGCAGCCTTCCAGAAACCCCATTCTGCAATAATATTACTGCCTCAAAGTTTAACTTCAACTTTGGTTCCCAAGAGCTTCCCCCCTCCCCTGCCAATCCAGCTTCTTATACATTCAATCCCCATGCTCTAGCTGCAGCCCTCAGTAACCAGCACAACAACAATGATTCCGTGTTCGTGGAAGAGGTTTTTGGTGCACCACCACCCTCACCCCCGGACTCTCTTGTTGGGGAAGAGCAAACCTGCGGGTCCCCATTGGATGTAAGTCGTGGTCTTCGTCTTCCTATATTCAGTCGCCTGTCTTTGAGTGATGATCCAGAGCTCTAAAGAAACTGAACTGTGTTATTATTATCATCATCATTGTATGAAAATTTGGAGGAAATTGAGGCAACTATGCAAACTTTATGCAATAAAAACAAGGTGAAGGACCTTTGTTTTAAGTGAACTTACCAGTGAATGCTTGAAGTAAAACCGAGTGACTTTCTTCAATGTAACAGATATGCAATTTTTTATTTGTAAACTGTTCACTGTACTTAATTTTAAGGTAGAGTCTTCAGTTGGTCTTATTTATGTAATGAAGTGTAATATGTCATTCCCACCAATTATTTATTATCAGGTATTGAAATCTTATCAAGGTGTTGACGGTGTGGTCAACATGTACGTTTTCATAAATGCCACAAAGTGGTTAGCTTCATTTTGACAGGCTAGAGTTGAACTCCAGGAGTCCACAACTCTGGTGATTTTTTTCATGTTTGTCAATATCATCAGTATATAACATGCATTGCAGTGCAGCTCTGTGTAGTCTCTACTCAACATGTAACTTGGCTCAAGTTAGTTTATCAACAGCACAAATACCTGAGCTGTCATCCCAGATTCAGGTGCACTCAGAATATCAGTGTCTATATATTTAACTTATCAAACTTTTTTATTTATTACATGACGGTGCATTTCTTAAATTTATATTGAGAAGAAAAGCAAAATTGTTATTTATCTGGTCAAGATAGATAATTGTCGTATATTGTTTATACATTTTCATTTAAATTATCATTTCAATCACCAAAGACATTTGAGGGAGTGTTTATAGAGTTCATAAATTTTCTTTTGTGCAAGTATGTGTAATGTGGTCTCTCTTCTCCCTATACATTTATCATTTGTATTTAAGACTGAATCATCGAAAAGTCATAAAAAAAATAAAAATGCTTTTCTTGCATTATTTCAAACTAAATTTGTGACACTTTGTTGTAACCACAGTCATATGGGTCGGGGTAGGGGGGTTAACTTTTACAGTATTGTTCTGTCGGGAATTGGGGACCCTTATTAACGATGCTGAGAGGGTTAACTGCCAAAGCTTGGGCACGCATGGGTGAAGAAAAAATACGTCGACCTACTTTTTTAGATTGATGGCGGGACTGGTAAACGACAATTAATCTCCTAGCTCATCTAAATGCCAACACATGAGCCCCCCAACCGCTCCTTTTGGGTCATTTAAATCCTTGAAAGTCATTCAAACAGCACGCTAGGACGGAAGTGAATCGTCTTTCCATTTGAATATTTGTAGTGGAGCGCAGTGCTTTGTTCAGATTAAAATCAACCTCACTGAGCTCGCAAAATAAAGGTAGTTGAGTCAACACAGATTTAGGGAGTTGGCAATGTTATTCATTCTAGTTGGGCACTCGTATCGATCTGTGCTTGTGTGTATTTCTACCTATCTAAATCTCGCTCTTTTAACACCTTTTCTGGCTGGATTTCTATGTAGGTCAAATGGTCTGTATATGGGTGCAGACTGCCGTGGGAGATGTTTACAAGGTTGATCCCTCTTACAATGTATAACTTCTTGATACAATGTTATGAAATAGTTCAGTAATTCTTAAAATTCAAGAAAATTGAAACTTTTTTTCTGGTAACACATGAAAGATAGTTCGAAACAACGTCATTACTTATCATCCCGATTGCTTTTCTAAAATTCCGTCCATTTAAAACCGTAATTAAATTCCCATACATTTTCTTAACGTCACTTCTAGCTTTAAGCCAGAATAACCCTGAATAGGGTAGAGGGTGGGCTTTTATTGTCCCACGCTTTTTCAAATGCACTGAAGCGTGTGTTACTGAGCCTTCAAAGCCTTCTTTTCTTTGCAGGCAAAACTAGTTCAATTTGATCCGGTATTGCGGCCTCCATACCATTCACACTAAAGAAAATAACTCCACAGTCTGCTAAGTCAATTCAAACTTCACCAATTTATCAGCATTTTGATATCTCTCTCCTAGATTACGATTGGTGAGGGCAAACAAAACAGCCCTCTTAACCTTGTGACGTCACGAAAAACACCATATTATAAACTGAGTTAAAGATCACGGTGACAATGTGACTTGTATAAACAGGCCGTGTGCACAGGTAGCAATGTTGGACACAATTTTCATTAGGACGATTTCTCAGTGCAATTTTGAAAAGGGGAACATAAAAAAGGGAACTAGTACGAGTTTCTGAACAGATTTTCACTGCACATATCCCATTAAGTTTACGTGAAATAAATCAGCGTTTCATACAGCGGATTTTATTGCGGTTGTGATCAGAAAAGCCCAAAAAGGTGAAAAACACTGACCAAAATCGCAAAAATAACCATTTAATCGTTCATGAATACAGAAGCCTTTCCCACGTATTAATAAAAATAATCGTGGTGAACGCAAATAAAGAGGGATAGTGCTTATATCACGGTCAAGTGTGTAGGCCTACTAAAAGAGAAAAAAGGGCAAACAGATTTATTATCATCAGATTAAAATGCCAAGTACGGGGGACATTTATGAGAAATCATGAGTTTTTTATCGATAGGCCTAATCGGGAAGCCGACGATACTGGTCTAATACTGTGACAGAGAAAGTTGGTAGGTGCAAAAAAAACCGATACTTTCTGGGTTTCTTAGGTTGTCATTCCTTGTGAAACGGTAGGCCTACCACCTTATTACAGGCGCTTACCGTCGGACATCGAAAGCAGCTAGTTTCGTGACCACGTCGTATTGTAGTATGCAAGTTGTCATTCAGTAACGGGGGAGGCGTGATGGTTTCGATGAAAATACTGATAGCACCACTCGGTTGTTATTTTGGACACCAAAATTGGTGGAAAGTCCCCTTTGTATACTTTATTGCTCCCCTATAGAACTTATAATTAAATCCAGAATGAGTAGCCATCCCGTGCGCTCTGCCTTACCTAGATGTAATAGCCAAGAGCGCATTTTAGAGAATTAAGTAAATGCAACCTTTTATTTGATCTTACCTGAATAATCTTTAAATTTGTATTTCTCAGATGAATAACAATCACAGCAAATCATCTTTACCAGTTGTACTTTACTGCTTGATGCAACAGAAAGTCAATATATATTTCTAAGAAATCTTAACCATTTATAAGGTGAAATTATTTGGTATAATTCGTAATTATGGGGCAAACTTGAAGCATGACTTTTGAAACAATGCATATTTGTATCCAATCTACGAGTATTCAAATAGAAGTAGACAGCAAAGCAGTTCAGATATACAGACCCTTAACAGAAAAAAAGTTATCCCCATTGCTCCATTTTAACATAAACTAAAATATTTCAGTGAGCATAGCAATTAAAAAATCAACTTTTCAGTGATAACAGTGAGCAACTTCCTAAAAAGTGTATACCTGCTTTTCAAAACACGTCAGCTTTTTTGTACTGAACTTGCTAGTTTATGCAAGTCCTCAATTTGTACCATGTGCACAAGTTAAGCTCTTTATTTGAAATATTGACTAATATAGAAATGCTGCAACCACATTATTCATAGAAGTCAAAAAATTGGAAAAAGTCACTCCCAGTTACTTAAAAAATCAATAATTCTGATACAATTTTAAAATGTTTACAAAGCTCAATTAACTGTTTTTAAAAGAAAACACTGGACAACAGGATTGCAAAACATCACAAAATGTGCAGTATTGTGTGGCAATTAACCAATATATTTGATTTTTTAACTAAAGCTTTTTTACACAACAAACTGTTCAACAAATTTCAGTAAAACAAAAGTACAGTTTGTCACTGATGGGGTGAGCATAACCAAAATACATGCACAACAACATAACACATAACCTGTCTAAAGATATCTGATCATGCTGATTTTCAAAAAGAATGTATACTCACTAAACAAACCCACTCAGCAAACTTGAAGAAGAACAAAAGAAAAGTTTGTTACTTATAGGGTGAGCTTTGCCAAAATCCATGTGACCAAAAATTTAATTACTATTGTAAAAATAATATGATCATGCTGATTTTCAAAAGGAACTTCCATTCTTACCAAAGAAAGTCACTCAGGAAATTTGAAGTAAAAGATAAATACAAGGGACATTCACACTGGCAAGTAAACCACGGTGCAATAAAATAAACCCACTTTCTTTGCTTTCACAGAAATGGGCAGCGATAGCTTTTCATCATGATCAGCTGTACTTCCTGTTAAGCATGAGCACTATTGTTCTCATTAGAAAGTAATATGAACAACATAGGGGGAGTTCAAGAAGTGACAATTGTTATGCTGTACAAAATATTTAATTTACTTGGGTCAAGAAATATTTCAATGAGATATTTCAATGTGCAGGGACATAGCTGCAGTGATTGGGCCTAAACCGAGGTCGAAATCGCCAGTGTGAATAGCCCTGAAGTGGCAGTTATAGGGTGGACAATGGTGATAAGAATATATATAAATAAAGCCCATCTATAAAATGATGAAAGTAATATAAAATGAGGATGCACAAAAGTAACAGGTCATAGCCAAAAAAGTTGAAAATAACCAGCCTTATTAACTACTATTAACTGCCTTTGCAAAATCAGCAGAAAAGTTTCAAAGCAACAAACACATATTTGCTTCAGAAAAGCACAATTAGGCAGGAAGTTATAACTCAGTTGGTGAGTTAATTTATTTTCTTTGACTAAAGTACAGCTTCGAAGTCCATTACTTAATAATAGCAGCTTTTTTTTTGCCTTTGGAGTTTCAGGGTGAGATGTACTGTGCCCCTCAGCTGTCTAAAAGTGTCAAACACGGTTTAGGAGAATACAACCTGAAAAGACAGAGAAAAAAATTATTCTAATACATAAATACATCAACCTTGTTGTGCATTATGGTTACAGCTGTAGTTTTGAGATGTACACTTAAATCTGTTTAAGGGACTCTGTTAGATAGATGGATGGCTGAAAGGACTTTTTAGGTGCAGCATTGCGTGACTAGATTCGGTCACAACAATTTTTTTTTCTAAAAGATCTGGATAGAACTTTTTTCCAGAATGAAGCAGGAACAGCGCCATCACTCAACAACAATTGTCAGACGATGACAAACATGCTCATTATACAAAAGTGCAGACTCAAATGCTAATTTAGGAAAGAGGCTTGGCATACTGAATAGTGCAGCCTTTTCTATCCTTTGACCCATCTCTTCCATGCTGGATGAGCCCATTGTGAATAAGTAATCCTAACCATTTCTTCAGTCCTGTGCAGGGACATAGCTGCAGTAAACCGATTTGTCAACATTTTAAAAGGCTAGCCTTGATCCAATCTAGATGGGGATCAGAAAGGCGAATGTTGATTCAATGAAACCACTCTCCTGTTAAAACAGAGAGCAAACCACTGTCGAGACTTGGCTAACATGGAATATAAGGAGGCATGAGAGTTTAAATGGAAAAAGAGAACAATCCCCTATATTGTCCACAAACAATATTACCTGCTCTAATCCAAACAGGACTATTTACACAAACAGTATGTTTTGGTTGCTTTCTATATACCAAGGTGAGAAAACAAAACTTAAGCAAACTTGGGTCATTCAGAATCTCCTCTCAGCCAAAATAGCAATTACAAAGGGTATTTGAACCACTCTGGTAGATGTAAACACCCACAAACTGAAAATATCCTGTTTTTCACGAGACTACGGGAGGTTTCATTGATAACTTCATTAAAAAGAAAGTTTACCAAGTGATTCTTGCTATGGCAAAAGGACACCCATATACAGGTTGTACATTTTGAAGAAACAGTTTCATCATGGTTAAATACACAATGGACTTTAATAGCCTATTTCACTCTTGGGTGGGAAAGAGAGCAAAAATAACAAAGACTTTATATTGTAAGATGAACAGTCATTTTAAGACTATATTAAAAATAATTAAACCTAAGGCAGACAGAAGAACAATAGTATAAAGGTGATATTACCTTACTCCCCCCCCCCCCAAAAAAAAAAAAAAAAAAAAAAAGATATGTGGGTACTTATGGATGTCCCTGGGCTGCTTAATTATCAACTATGATTAACACATTGCATCACTGTAATTTTCAGACTACGGAATCTTGTTTTTGTACATTAGGACTGCTACCACTTACATGTAGGTGAGCAAATTAATGGAAGTTCAAAAGTTAGTCTAAATGCACGTCTGGCTTCATTACCTTTCACTTAAGTTCTAAAATTAGTCAGTTTATCACACAGAATAAGAAATGTTAATGAATGGCTATGGGACTTTTTGTGATTAGAATAAATCTTTGTATATGATTAGTTATGAAAATATTTTCATTTACTAATAATGTGTCAACAATCTAGCCTTAGGCCCTTTTCACATCAAGCATTATCCTTTAGCATACAATCTGTACTGGTACACTTTAAAAGATAACCTGGATAGTAAGTAAAAGTCACCTTAACGTAGACTCCTATCACCACAGCTAACTAATTAACCTGGAACTAAGTTAACTGCAGGGAGCATGCTTGTGGAGGATGTGTGAAAGGAAGAACAATCCTGTAGCTTAATTACATGGAGGACAAAGTGAGCCACTACAGACTGTATTGCTAAAATGTATCGCTAGAGCAACCACTTTGAGGAATAGGTTGCAGTCTGAACAATAATTGTACATGGGGTGTTCCTTGTTATCACTGTTCACTTAATCCCTTTGATCTTTTTTGCTTTCTGAACATCTGTATCTTTTAAGTTTCCATCATGTTTTTTGTTGATACAAGCATGCATGTAACGTGCCCTGAATGCTTTAGAATAATATTTTGGAAGCCAAGTTTGAGTACCGTCCAACCTAAAAACACTCCTGGCAGTTATGAAGGTTCTTCAAATTATTATCCACACACGATCTCAATGTTGGAATAAATGGGTAAATTGTGAGCAGGCGGAAGGGATTGTGCCTTTTTATTCTTTTCACATTAAAGCAACAGGCACATGGCGATTGGGCAATTTACATGCCTTCAACTACCAAGGCCATATAAAGACCACCGATCATGTTCTTAGCTAATGTTATACTAATAATGAAATACATTCAGACACAGCACACTTAATGTGCATAGCTGAAGACCTAAGGAAAAACAATGGTTGATGGAACATTATAATCAGGGGCTCATATCTCATAAACAAAAAATTAAAAAAGCAAATGCGGGCACCAGATTGTAGGTCATAAACACCTTCTTGTCTTCAATGATGCCAATTTTCATGATAATACCTTACGTAGGTCCAAAGTTACAATGCAAACCAATCACTATCTTACGTTGATTTACAAAGCAGTTGAATTGACTATAAACAGGGGTGGAGCTAAAAAGCAGAAACATGGGGTGGAGAATTAAACAACAAAACATTGGAAAGGAGAATTTTTGCTCTAATGGGGTTTAATTTTATTGCACTTATATCTACATAAGTATTTTACATAATTGACATGAGTGGGGGGTGGGGGTGGAGGTGTTATTTTGATCTATCTAGGCCATTTTACCATATTGATCCCCTTTAAAACAACAACAAACAACATCTTGCTGAATCCCCAGTCATTGTATGAATCAGTTTAGAAGTCTCTGTTTATATCACATGGAAAGTGATAGTCAATCAAACTACCCGTAATTTCCCCTCAAATTAAATCAACCCAATTTAATCATGGCCTACTGCTGCTTTGTTCAAATGGTTAAACAAGGAGCACGTTGTTTGAGTGAAGAATTTTTGAACATTTGCCGACCACTTTAGACTAGTGCACCAGGTCCAATGATTGCAGATGTTGTTTTACTGTTGACCTACGTTCATGCAAGTCCCCTTGCAAGATGCAAACCACATTCTGGAAAATGCCAGTGAATCTGACATCACTGCAGTAGTGTGCTATAAATTGCCACAAAAAAGAGCTTCTCCAATTGCCTCTGGTGTGCAGAAACAGGTTGATTGAATCAGTGCAGCAACCTTTTACACAGCATAGGCTGGCTCACTCAACAAGTGTTATCTGTGGGCTGTAAAATCTTTAATATGTACGTATACTTGAATAGCACATTTGCAATAATTAAGTCTAATCTGCTGGCTGTAAAATCCTTGATGTGTATAAAGTGGGTCTGCATAACATAAAATTATTTTGTACCAATTTAAAATGAGGGGTATTCAATACATATTGAGGGCCCCAAGTGCTTACTCAATCAGTCGTGTTGGTTTACAAAAATACTACTAACAGCCAAAAAGACCAAAAAAAAAAAAAAAAAAAAATCTGAAAAAGTCTGAAAAATTTATTCTATGTTTATCACCATACATGTCCATTATGATTTCAAAACACCGCAAATCTTATTCACTTAAATTTGTTTTACAGGAGCAAAAAAAAAAGTGAGAACTTTTAATGTGCATTTCTCTAATATTTTTTTTAATTAAAAAGACGAAATGTTTTCTTCTTAATTAAAACAAAGAGAAAAAAAATTAATCAAGTTGTTCTTGAATAGCACAATCAATATTGAACTACATGGTAAAGGGTGTGGTACATGTGCAGAAACGTCAGATAAGTTGAATGTCCCATTGAACTCTTCAAATAACATATTCTGCCTTATTGTTTTAAAAAAAAATAATAGTAATGATAAATAAATTAATAAGTATCATATTTTTCATGAAGCATAAAGGACTACCTGTGATTCATATTAATATATATTTCTTTTATTTATTGGTGATAAAATCAGCTTAAAAGTCATGACAAGATAAGTGGCACCTAATGCTGAAATACATTACTCGATTGTCTTGGCCATGAGAAAGCATTTTTTGTAAGGCATTGTCTTACCAACTTAATGTTGGAGACCATTATTCATTTCCTTTTTAAATAGACTCCTTGATAAATAATAACTCCAGTTAAACACACACACACACACACACACACACACGCACACACACACACACACACACAAAGATTAAAAGTAAGTGCTTTTCTTGTAAACAGTGTTACTGGAGGAGGAGAGGGGTGGGGTCGGGTACGGTGGTGTGTGTGTGTGGGGGGGGGGGGGGGGGGGGGAGAGCAGATACAGTTTGGTCAGGCTACTTTCTCCTGATATAATATGTATCCCACCCCCTTTGTCACTTTGTCTGTGGGATGACACAGAAGAAGCACTCCCATAGATACATGCAATTTGCTTCTGGTTGAAATAAGACCAGTCTAGCCTGTGATATAAATGAACACAACAGCAAACCCCTATTTATACTCATTAGTTTTGTTCATAAATATGTCATGTAAAGTGTCCCTCTCTCCAACCCAATACAGACCTCCAATTTTTGGTGCCTATCTGAAGAGAATTCGAGGAATTAAAATTCTTGGATCCATTTCATGAAGTGGATTAACACTGTGGTAGTAGTGAAAGGGAGAGGGGTATCATCTTCAAGGTTGAAAATACCACTTTAACTTGAAAATAAGACCCTATGTACACACCATGGTTATACACTACACCCCAAAAAAAAAAAAAAAAATTGAACTTTTTTGTTTTTTGATCGAGTGTATATGGTCCTAACACGTAAATACTGTAGGAGCCAATTTTGTATATTGACCACCGTTTCGAGGGCCCAATATTTCGAAGGTAGAGGGTCCGAATGCTTCTTAGTCCGAAGATCCCTTATTCCCAAAGAAGTTATTAACTGCCATGACATTGTTGTTGAAATTAATGGAGATTGTATGAGGTCTCAAACTGTAGCAGTTTCACTGCTTGCAATGTCAAATTGTTTTTTTTTACCTGTACACAGTGATGCTGATAGAAACCCCCCCCCCCAAAAAAAAATTAATTTGATGTTATTCATTCAGGATTGTAAATGAACTC